GCTTTGTAATATTATATCTGTAAAAAACGCTTTATAAATAAACTTAACTTATGTACTTCTTTACCTGCAAAATATCAAGCCAAGTTGAAAATAGAGCTTGATTGTCAGTGATTGTTTTGGAACTTTTCTCCGATGTTTCAGAACAATTATTGGCGATCAAGTTGGCTTAATTTGAGAAACGATGCTGTGAAGATTAAATTGTCTGCAGATCTATTCAAAACAATGAGAACTCCTCAAACATTCGACAAGCTCTTCAGTAAACAATGCTTGCCCTTGTTTCATCTGAGTCAGCGAGGAAATCTGTGCCTGGAATGATTCAAGCAACAAATGTGCAGCACTATCCCACTGTGGCGCTTCATAAAGTACGCACTGATATACCGCAGACCTTCGGGTGAAGCAAGTACGTGCAGCTCTGTGAACCCATGGTCAATTCCCAATTCACTACAGTGGGAAAATGTGAGTGGAGAGCAGGGCAGATTCTGACAAAGACTGAGAGAAGGAAACAATAAGAAAATAAAAAGGCAAAAAAGGCTACAGACAAGAAAAAAGCCACAGGAGGATGCTGGCCAAATATGATATGACGACTCACAAAAACAAAACAAAATAAAAACGGGAAACTACTGGTCCTTTTTTTTTTTGCTGCAATTACTGCTAGTCAGTCAAAGAAAGTGTTTCTGACCTGCTAGGTGATTCCCTGGCAGGTGAGCCAGGGAATCACCTGCCTTTCAATTTGTCAGTGAAGAAGGAAGCATATACAGTAAGTGCTTACTTAGACAATGGTGGAACAGCTGTAAAGTAATGCATATGTTAGTGTGCCGTAATAGTGTAAAATATGCAATTTTTTAAAATAAATCTGTTAAATCAGCAAAAACATCCTAAACATAAGACATGACAGTAACACTTGCACATATGATTGAAAAAGTACTACAAATCCTCCTGGGTTTGCAGGTCAATCTCTGACATCTGATTTTAATTACCACTATGCATGCATTATCAGATGTCACTGATGATAATAAAATTATATTGAAAGTGGTAGATTTGACCAAGGCTGGCAACTATGCTGACCACAAAATATTAAAAATTTTATCAGTGTGCTATGCAGCTGTTGACTTTATTGTCATCCCTTTAAAATCTAACTTAATATTTAAAAATTGTACTTTCTTATTATTTTCCTCATCCCCTTTTATTCTCATTATCCACTCTCGCAGGTTCCATCTGCTTTGTGGCCCCCACCTACAGGCCTGAAGACCCTTAGTGCAGAAGAGCTTTTCCTCCGGTTCAGCCCCAAGGGTCCTGCTGGAAGTCTGGCACACCGGGCAGGCATGTTAAGAATGGGCCTCAGCACAGGCATGCAGATCCACAACCTCAGGGGAATCGCAGATTCCTACTCTCGCTGGTTTATAGATTCAAAACACTCCCATGGCCGAGGGCTTACAGTCGGAGAATACTCCATGAGGACCCTACTCCACACATTGACAACATTCACAAAAGAATAAGTCAAGCACGGCTTACTTTTCCCTCTTAGGAGGGCTCCAAAGTACAAAGGCCGATCAGCAAAATGAAATGGGGGCTTTCTCGAGAGCTAAAGAGTTGTGGTGTAGGCATACATTCAAATTGAACATAAGAAGCCAAAGAGTTACAATTAGACTGGAAATATAATAAGCATCTGTTCTTTAAGATGCCATGAAGAAATCTTTCCCTCACAGACTAAGAAGTAAAAAAAAAAAGTGACCTGAAACTGAATTTCGGATTTTGCACCTCCACACAATTTATTTTAAAACAGGATACAATTTCTAAACGTGGTGCGCAATGTGAGACACAAATCCTACCCCCTCAACACCCTTGTGACAAGCAGAAAAAAGCAAGAAAATCCATATAAAAATGATCAAAAGGAGTTTTCATTAAATCCACAAAAGAATCTACCTCTCTTTCTGACCTTTCGATTCCTGCTGTTTCCCCGAAGGTCAATTAGAATCAACCGATGCTATATATTCTCGAGGTCTCTGGCCTCTTGGGAGGCAGTCAGACATCTTCTGAAATACATACTAATGTCTGAAAGACTTGAGGAGTGACTCACCAAGAAAAAAGTCCCACTTAGTAGAATTAAAGGCTGGGGGCCTTTGAAGAAAGATGATTTAAAAACATTTTTCTATTGGTCTAATGCAATATTCTAGTCTTAAATGTCACGTTTTCATCAATTGTAAGCGAAAAAAACATCAAAGTTAATAGAAATTATGGCTTGAAAACGCCTGTATGTGTAATTAATATACAAATGTTTTTTCACCAAGTGAAATTAGTTAGTGAAATGAATTAACCTTTCAACAGTATTTTTAATATACTGAATCTGACTGTATAGACGTTTAGTTTGTCAACATGGCTTGACGTTCCAAACATGGAAAAAACATAATTTATCATTTTGAACCTTAAAGATTACAAACCTCGTTTTTTCTTCTTCTTTTGTTTTTACATTTTTTGGCTCTAGTGGTCTTTATTTGAAAGTGATAGGGCAAGAAGGTAGGGTAATAAGAGAGAAGGAATACAGGCCGGGATTCGAACCTGTGACGGCCATGTCGAGGACTAAGGTCTCCTTATGTGGGTGGTGCTTAAACCCTGCGCCACCACAGCATCCCAGGCTAAAGAATGTCTATCTCACTCAAAATATCATAGATAGATCACATCATACACAATATATAGACAGGAAACGGATGATAAATTGGGCTGAAATTGTATGTGCGTCATGTAATAGCCCCACGTTAACTTCTTAATGTGGCTGAACTCTAGACAAAATGAGAAATCAAATGTGCCCTCAATGTGTTGTGCAATTCACAGTTTTCTCAGTGAGATTCAGTCACCTAAAAAAGAAGCTTAATAGGTTTTTGCAATATATGCATTTAATCAACCCAAGAGGGACGCATCAAAGAACCCCACAGTGAGTCCAGGCTCAATCAGTTTGAGCAAAATCTATAGGAAGCTGCATTGTGGGGGTCATAATATTGTTCACATTAAATAACTTTGAGAATTTAAAAAAATAATTGCGTGTATGTCAATTTATCAATTAAGATTGTCAATGCCAGCAAAAAAAAAAAAAAAAAAAAAGAAAAAGTAGCCAAACTAATTACACACATGCAATTGCATTGTGGAATGAAAAGGCATAATGGCCGTCTGAACTGGTGTTTAAATGAATAAATATCGGTAACCAAACTGAAAGTGAATGCAGAGCATTTTGATCTTTGAGTTTTGTGCTCCCCTTCCATTCATGTGCTTGGTTGGTGGCAGGGAGCAACGAGAGCCGATGGCGTCACTGTTTAATGACGTGGTGATGTGATGAAACGGTGCTCAATAAAGGGAGTCAAACTAAGTTGAACACTGCTTTTAAGTCACCTTCAAAGACCTTTACAACTACAAATCCCCAATAAATGTAAAACCAGGGAAAACCGGTGGTCAAATGAGACAGCCTGATGAGGTAAGAGAAAAAAAAAACAGATGAATACACTATGTCTGTGTTTTATTGACAGCATACTCTGAATGGCAAAAGTTTTTATGGTTTTGCTTTGTTGCGTTATCAAAAATACATTTCAAGTAGAGGATTTATAAATCACATTTCCACCAGAATGCAGTGACTTAAAATAGTGACACAGATCATAGAAACTAAATGACAGAAACCTGGTTCTGTAAACTCCAAAAGGATTAAGGTTTATCCCCAAAACACCTACAAGATTTCTAGGTGTTTGATGTTCAAAGTTGTTGGTTTTCTTATTTGAAACTTAACTGCTTCTTGATCTGCTTGGTTAACAATGAGAATGAAAGCAAAACCACAATTTTATTGAATTGAGAAGTTGTCCATCATTAAAATACAAATTGTACATCTGTATTTATTGAGTCAGACATTAACAAAATTTATTGGAATTGACAAACTTTGTTTAATTTGCCAAATATTGCTATTCACAACACTGATTTACAAAGCCTCTGATTAATTGGTTTAATTTTCTTTAATCACATCCAACCACACATAAACTGTATCTGGGTTAGAGCTCTTTGGAATCCAGGGCATGTAAACTTTTAATTCCTCACCAAGGCTGAACAGAAACACTTCTAATCCCAAAACGTAATCAACACCAACACAAGCCACTTTTAAAATGGATCATGGTCCATCTCTTTTAAAACCTCCAGAGAAATTCATAGGGTTTCATCAATGTAAAACTTAGAGGTTGTAATGTTCTGAAGTACTGTTTTATTTCTCTGGCATAAGCAACATTAATTACACTAAAGTACATATAGCTAATGTTTTTAATGGGAGTTTGAATTCATTTACTGCCTGTTTGACTCTCTGTTAGTTTAAGGCATTTCTTTTCCAGTAGCAACTAAGAAACTGATGGATGCAGCAATATCTATAAATTTTGCACTTTTGCCTCTAGCAGGAAAACAATAATTTTATTAAAAAATAACACTCCACTCAATGTTTCTTAAGCATAATTTGACTAAACATATTCAGTTTCATCAAGTGTTAAAAAACACCCTACTGTCTAATCTTCAAGATAATTGATCACGCAATCATTTGTTAATATTTCAATAGACATCACACGGCATCAGTTTCTAAAAATCAATACTGTTGCATTTTTCCAATGGAAGATCTCTGACTTCTCAGAGTGAAGTGGAGTTTAAAATCTCTTTAACACCCAACAACCTCTCCGGCAGAATGAATGTGATGCTAAGTGCCTGTTTTCCGCTGGCCCTTGCCAATGTCTCCCATTGAAACTGGCAACCGGGAATAGAATGAGCACAGAAGGCAGCGATGGCTCACATCCTGACCCAAAAATAACAACAACCACAAGGAAAGAGTATGCTCACTCTACAGTATAATGAAGACATTTCCCTTGCTCGAATAACTCGGTGTTACTCAATCGGACCTTCGCTGCTGAGAAAAGCCTGGTCAGATTGACACAAAAATATTGGAACAAAGCACATATTTGGCCAGGAAGAAAAAAACAGGCCTTTCTGACCTCCAAGCTGTATTCCTCCACGGTTCTCCTGAGAGGGTCTACGATCTGCCAGCAAATTAGAATGCATAAGTCGATAAGCAGCATCCCACCGACGATAATCAACAGTTTCTGGTCCTTTATGATCTGTGGAGGAAGAAGATGGTGATATGATTATATTTTTGTGAAATAGTTCAATGTGTGGGTCTTTAATGGACTATCATCTATCTCATAAAGGTATGTTAAGCAGAACATATTTACATACCTTATTTATTGAGTTATTTGACTTTAATCTTAGCTTATTCATGCCTTTCTTTAAAAAATTTTAAGAACTTATATTCCAGATTTACTACTATAACACATTAAAATCTGACACTTCCAGAAGAGCTATTGGTCAATAATCCATGAGAAGTTCTGTCAGCAAGCCAAATCCTGCTGCCTAAAAAGGAACCGATGCTGAGCCAGCACTGCTCACGGCTAAAACTCGTCTTTTGTACTCTGAACTTTGGAAGGATGAAAGCCATGACCTTTGTGATCTTCATTTATAATAGCTTTTGACTGACTGAAACCATGAATCAAAAGAAAGGTCAGGAGGAAACAGGGTCACGTTGTGTTTGGAAAGTATGACATAGTCTGGATGCAGCTCGCACAGGTGTCCATTTCCCCCGGTGGGCTCCGAACGAGGGACATGAGGGGCTTGTCTTTTGATCTGCTCAGTCTTTTGATGATGCAAAGACCGAGCAAATGTGGCCTCAGCAAGACAAAGAATATTGATAGCCTCCGTTAGGCATGTCCGATTTATTGCAGAAAGACGTACACTAATTAGCCACTGGCAATATGGTAGCGGGTGAACCAAAGAAAAAATAGATGTGTATGTAGTAAAGTGCTGCGAGTATAAAACATTTATATTTATCCATGTTTCATTACCAAACAATAAAAAAAAGGAAGACTCAATCAGATTACAAGTAAAAAAACAAAACATGTTTTTAACATGGGTGCCTATAAATATGTATAGAGAAAAGGGTTGAAATGATCATTCAACACCAAGATATCTAAACACTTTTAAATGTCAAATTAACTGTTCCAAAATACTCTACAAAGGAAATACCTGGGGAAGATATTTTTTCAAAACTTTACACTTCCATCTGCTAAACTATGATGTGTTATATTGTCAAGTGACTCTTTCAGACAAATTGTACATGTAATTACTGTAAATTAACTGAAGTGTTACCTGTTTTCTTTCCACCAGCAGTATTGGCATTCAGGCATACTATTGGTGTTGCACAGATTTTTGTCTCAAGTATCCAACTTGATTTTAGAAAAACTCAAAGAAATAAAGCCTTGATGAGCCTGTGCAATAACCTTTTCCCGTTTTACTTTCAAAAGAAAAGAACTATTTTCTACTGACCTGGTTTAGCTTTGAATAAACTATTTAGAAGTAACTCTTTTTTTTTTCTTTTTCACAGATGGTTTCAGGTGCAAGACTAAATATCTTTACGATACAGGCTATCAGAACTATGCAGGCTAATTCTAAAAAAAAATTATTTCTTTTTTTCTTAAGATTCGTGTCAAATTCTAATTTATTTAAGCAGTAGTAGAAATAGCATTTGTTTTTCTGTTTCAACAAAAGCAATTAGAGCATGTCAGATATTTCTATTTTTAATATGTGTATTAATATCTGAAAAACTGTGGGAGTTTTAGTTCAAGTTGTCACGCCCTCCATAACAGAGGGATTCTGGGAACCTTCTTATCTGTGTCTGTACAGATTTAAATGTTTTTTTATTGTTATTATTATTTTTTGTTGTTGTTTTCTTTTACAGAAAATAAACAATTCATTTGAGTCCACCTAGCAGAAACTTTATCAAACTCACTCTTGAATTACTTACTCTTCCATTTTATGGGGGGGAAAAAAAACTGAAGGAAAACTAGGAAGAAAGGGGTAAATAGTGTTGCTGCTTTGGATCCAGGGTTTGAAGAAAAGATGGCTAACACTTGTGTCTGTCCCTCCCCTGACAGCAGTTGGCAGACGTTTCAGGGCACCAACAGCAACTATCAGTCTGCTGAAGCCAAAGCACCTGCACTCAATCAATGTGGATGAAGTGGAACGTGTGTGTGTGTGTGTGTGTGTGTGTGTGTGGGTGTGTGTGTGTGTGTGTGTGTGTGTGTGTGTGTGTGTGTGTGGGTGTGTGTGGTGTGTGTGTGTGTGTGTGTGTGTGTGTGGGTGGGTGTGTGTGTGTGTGTGTGGGTGTGTGTGTGTGTGTGTGGGTGTGTGTGGGGGTGTGTGTGTGTGTGGGGGGGGGGGGTGTGTGTGTGTGTGTGGGTGTGTGTGTGTGTGCGTGTGTGTCCGCTGCACACAAGCCCAGGCCCTGAGCCAATAGAGCATACATCTTGAGTGTTAAGAGCTAAACTATGCAGCAGGGGTGAATACTGCCTCAAAGGAAACATTTGTTTTGTCTTTGTTAGCAAGGGAGAGAAGGTGAGAGGAGGGGAAGTGAGTTGAAATAATTGGCTATGAAATGTCAAAGCAATATCAAGTTCAAAGAGACAAAACAGCTCTGTTTCCTGAAATTATTATTAAAAAAAAAAAAAAACAACAAAAAAACCCCTCAAGTCATAAAATAAATATAAAGGGTCAGGTTCATAGTCATAAAATATCTTTGAATAGCTGTCTTTAATAAAATGTCAGAGGTTTGTGTCTTTTAACCTCTTTTGATTCATCATCTGTCCCCGGTCTCCAGATTTTTGTTTCCTCTTCAGCGTTCCCAGCCTACTTTCTTTGCCATTGAAGCCAGATTGTTTGTCTTGTTCCTTACTCTGTCCTGCTTTGCTTTCCTCCTTCTGTCACTCTGCCATCCCTTCTGCTGCTATTTTTCTACACCCTCCTTACCTCTTCTACAAGTTCAGTCATCTAGCCCTCCTTCTTTATTGCTTTTCTTTCTTTCTTTCTTTGTCTTTAATATTCACTGCAAGGCCACCAACCCTTCCAATAATATGGAACATTTTGAGAAGTGACATAGAGTGGGAGAGGGGAACAGCTATTAATACAAAAGGCCATGAAGACTTGCAGCACACGAAGAGCAGCACTTCATATAACTGGGCCAGTGAAACAGATCGGGTCAGTTGTTTAAAAAGATATCTATATTTCAATTTTTTTCTTTCTTCAGAGAGACATTGTTCAAAGAAGGTGCTGCAGCCAGCAGTATTCACACATATTTCTATCTGAATCAAGTCTGGGCACGATCAGCTAAATATCAATGCTCGGATGTATTGAACGTAGAAATGATGTGCCGAATGAAGATTTTTATCACTAAAATAAAGTTGTAGGCATCCTGTTTTTAGGGACAGATAGATCTTTATACTCAAAAGCATGTCAAAATTCTCTTTCCTTTAATAAATTGTGTTTAGGATCTGGAAACATACATGTTTTACTGAATAATTAAATTTTTTCTTACCTTTTTCTTCATCTTCACATTTTTGAAGATGGCATGTACCCTCCACGTCTTGGCAAACATGGCACCAAAAGCAGTTGTGTATCCAACAATAAGGATCCATGTCCGAACCTGTCGGTACATTAGAACACATTCGCATCGTGTCACAACGGGGTAATCAAAGCTCAAACCAGCATCTGATCTGACAAGTATCTAAAGATAAATTTGTTCAAAATAGTGTTGGAAGGCATCCTAAAAATAAAATGCTGTCAGATTTATTTTTTTCTTCCAAGAGCTCTGGTAGACCATCCTTAGCAACGGGGCTGTCAAACTTCTGAGAGCATTTTATTTTAGTAAAAGAAAAAAAAATGGTGGACCTTTTTTGTTTTAGCACAAAACACAAAGCTGATGAGTTAAAAAAGCTTGAGAATTAAACATAATCTAAAATCAGAAATGAGTACACAGTTGTGTACTTCAGCATGACCAGATGCTAACGCACCTTAGTGAGTTAAAAAAAAGGACAAAAAATCTGAGATCAGTTCTTTCAAAATGTTTTAGCCTTGTTTCCACCTAGTGACATTCAGCTTGTGCAATTTAGCTTGTGCAATTTAGGTGGAAAACTGACGAGGAAGAGGCAAAACTATTTAAAACAAATGACAAAACAGTCTGATTTTATATGCACACCTAATGCCTGGTTAAAATTACTTTTGGTTTCTTTTGACTGTTTTTTGTTCTCATGTTCATATTTGGCTTCATTTAAAGTGAATCTGCTGAAAATTTTCTGTCTTATTTATTTATTTTATTTTATTTTTACTTGTCCACATTAGTATGCTTGACATAAAGTCATATTTTGCAGAAAGATTACAAATGATCAAAATGATCTCGATGCACAAAGGTACCAGAAAGGAGAATGGTAATAAAAAACCTACAAAATTAGACATGCACAAGGTCATCATAAATAACTGGAGAACAAATAGAACAACAGGATTTTACAAAGACTGGATGAAAAGAAATTGAAACCAGTCAGGGAGGCTCCTAAGAAGCTAGCAGCTTTTCTGAAGAGTTATTTGTCCTCCAACAAGTCCTGGTTGTTTAATACTTTTTCTGCATTAATACATTTGGCGCAAAAACTCGTCTGTGGTGCACAGCTTCTAATACGAGTCAATTCAAACCCAGAAAAAAAAAAACACTTTGTAAGAGGAAGATAAGCACTTTGGAATGTCAAAGAAAACGTCCAGAACTAAGTCTGACAGAAAATCTGTACAGTCACCTGACAAAAAAATGGCATATAGACCAACATCATATGTTTTTATTTTTAATTTTTATTATCTTCTAGTTATACACCATAAAGATCAAACTATATTTGGAAAAAGTGATCATGCTGTAATCATGGTCTAATTTTTTTTACATCATAAAAACCTAGCACTTTAACTGGAACGTGTGCTCTTTTGAGTGACGCTTTGGCAGAGCTTTGGCTACAAATGACAAGAAAAATTAGGCCGTCTATTCACTGGGAGACCAGCTCATTAATCAGTAGTACATCTATCAACCTCTGCGCTCCTTTGCTGTAAAACTTCATCGGAAGTGACAGGCTCTGTTTTGGCTCTGCAGCGCAGCTTCATCCAGGTGACGGCAGCTCGAGACGTGCCCTGCCTGTCATTACCTGTGTCTGTGATGTGTGTGTGTCGGCTATGGTGTTATCACAGTGGAAACTAGTTATCACTGTAATCAAAACTCCTTAATTAATCCAGTATCTACATATTCACACGGTACTGCTACCTGAGGGGAGACACTTAATGTGCTCTGTGCTAGCTGCAGAACCTGCAGTGAGATTCAATCAGTTTTCCCTTGATCACATGGTGCATGTGAGAGGCTTTTTAGCTACTTTTGCTTTGGCATATCTTAAATATATAAAGCAAAAATAAAAATAGAAAAATAGCATGGAAATTGTAAAATAGGCAATATACTGTGACAGCATTTATACCCCTTAAAATCTATAAAACTTTTTAGGTCTTCATATGATAGACCCAACCAAAGTATTGCATAAGTAGAAAGAAAATATTATGTTTTTTTTCCCTGCATAACAATCTCTGACTGCAGTTACAGCTGCAAGTATTTTGGGCATGTCCCTATCTGCTTTGTACATCTTGTTGCTTTGGTCTCCCCTGACCTTCACATGTTTTCTGTACTTGTGGCAAATTGACAAGTACAGAAAACTTTTTGTCTTTTCAAAACTGACTTTCCTGTAGCTCAGAGGTGGGCAATCCTGGTCCTCAAGGGCTGGTGTTTTGCAACTCTTAGGTGTCTCCCTGGTCCAATACACTTGAATCCAATAGCTGAATCACCACCTAAGTGCAATCAAGTTCTCCAGAGTCCTGCTAATGACCTCATTATTTGACTCAGGTGTGTTGAAGTAGAGATACATCTAAAAGTTGCAGGAGACCGGCCCTCGAGGCCTGCAGTTGCCCAGCCTTGTTGTAGCTCTTCCAGAAAAGTTGGATTTGGTTGACACAGTGATCCACCCGAGTAGTTGACCTCTGCAACTCCTCCATTACGAAGGGGCTCATAGGACTGCCAGCATAGGGTGGTGAATTGCAGTTTATATGGATGGCCATGTTTCGGTAGGTTTGCAGGTTTGCATTTTTTATGAATTTTCTCTTACAAACTTCTGAGGCCTTCACAGAGCAGCTGCACACTGAGACTGGGTACTAATAAGGTGATTTCTCAAGGCAATCGGTTGCACTTTTAGTTGAGGCTGTCAGAGTAAAGCAAGCCGAATAGAAATCTATGCAACATCCTTCAGATATTTATTTCCATAAATATTTGAAAACCACATTATTTTTCATCCACTTATAAATTGTACAGTACTTTTTGGGCTATCAAGTAAAATTTTACAAAATCTAATTGGAATTTGCGGTTATAGCATGTTGACTCAAACTCGAGCTTGCATTTAATATTTAAAAAGTTACTGAAAGATTGAAGTGGACTCACAGTGCAGAGTGTCTCAAACTCTTTGTCTGAAACAAAACCTCCGTCAAGACCAAAGAGGAAAATCGAGGCGTAGGACAGCATGCCTCCGAGGATGATCAGGTTGTTCATGTATGGACTGGACATCTTGATTAGTCTGAAGGTGAACGAAACATTAAATAAACGATAAAACTGATTAGCGGAGCTTTAAAACTGACAATAAACTTATGCAAAAAAAGTCTAAAAAACCACAAGTATATTAAACAGTTGTATTATCTGACTAGATTCATTTTTTAGTTCTATTACTATTCACCCCACATAAGCTTGTCTGGCCTTCATTCATCGCTCTACTTCCTCCTTTACAAAATCTGCTAATTTAATTTTTTTCTGCCATAGTACAACCCTGCATTTTATCTTCACTGGCTATCATTTTTGCCAAGGTTGTACTGATCTGTTTCCAGATGCCGACCTGTGATTTCGGTTCTTGATGTTAAAGAACAGGAACGCCCCAGCCATCAGCATGCCCAGGATGGTTATAGTAGACAAGATGCTGTACAGTGGCACATTGATGTGGCGCCGCTGTAGACGAACAAATGTGCGATCTTTGGGAGGCTCCACACCTACGACACAAAGGAGAAAAGAAGGTTATTTTCATACTTCTTAAAGTTTCAACCATTTTCTGTACTAAACTTTTTCCCCCCAAAAAATCTACTTATTTGAACTTTCCTCCTTTAGATTCATTTGTCTTCTAAAAAATGTGCTACTGCAGCAAATATTAACTTATTCAAGCTCAGCTTCCAAATATTCATGTAAATCTTTGTATCGGCTCCACATTCAGGTTGTTGTGGGCAAACCCTGCATTTTCTAGTATTTAGAATTAATCGCATGGGCGTCCTCTGCGCGTTCACTGTGGTGAGGGATGTAGCAGGAAGCTTTCATTGCAGGAGCTTCTTTATGTGGGGCAGAGAAGGGAAGATGGAGCGAAAGAGCGCCGTGGGGGGAGAATAGCCAGAGGATCAAACAAATTCCAAAGTATGTCAACACTTGCAAAACCCGAAAGAGAGGAAAAATGGACTGGTAAATAATTTAGAGGCAATAGGCCAGCATAGGATGATGAATTGTGATCCTGGTTCAGGCTCAAAAATATTCAGATGCTGACACACACACAAAAAAATCCATTTTGCACTTTATGAATTGTAGTAAACAATTGTGCCATACATATTGTCAACGTGTATAATTTCAGATAGTTAATTTATTTGTGTTATTTTTATAGACATTAGAGACATAAAGTACAGTTAATATGAGAAAAGAAAACATTAAAAATTATTTAAACAGGCAGGCACAGGCCACGTTTAAACCAGAGATGTTCTCAAGTTAGATCTCAAGTCTCTCGCCCCAATTCAGAATCGAGCTTCAGTTACTCAAATAAACATTTCTTCAATCAAATTCATAACATCTAGGTCACCTTTAACCCTGCATTCCTGCAGGGTTTAAAACTGCACTGCTTGTGTCTAGCCCTAAATTATCACATTAAAATGTAATAATTTTATTTAATAGTTTTTCTTTTTTGACAGATTCTGATAAAATGTAATATGCAGATTTGGTTTCCTAATAACTGCATCATAAATTATGAACAATTTAAACCGGAATGGACTGAGCGTAGATATTGTGCACACCTGAATCACTTCCCATTAATTGGGTTCTGAATACTAAGCACTCAAATACATTTTTATAATACAGACTACAGTTGTTGAATAATAAAATGGAGGATCAATAATGGTCATATTTGTGACCACTGATTCTTAACATTGTGGAGCAATATATTGGTGCTTTTCCTAACGTATTCTAGAATTATACTCAGCAGAATTATCATATAGAATGCCTAAGTTATTTAAATCTAAATTAAATTCTAATGTAATCTAAATACGGCTTCTGAAAGTCCCACTTTATAATTATCACCAGCACCCAAAACAAATAGTATTTCAAACAAACATAAGAGATCTTGAAATCAAATGGCAACAGCCTGTTCATTTGTTCGCATAACATAATTTCATACTTGTGTATGACCAAAATGGCAGCCCTCGAATGTGAATGAATGCTAGAAGCTGCCACTCTGACTTACCCGAGCATTAAAAATCAAAAAGCATTTTAGGACAATTCTTTTACTGGTTTCCCTGCATTTCAATTAGCTTGCTTTGGCAACTTATAGTGAAATACATGGTCCTGCCTTGTGTGAGGTATTAAACCTCTCTAGGGTTTAAGGAAAGGCTCTGAGCTTTTTTCTGCAAGGAAAGATTGGCATCCTTGCCCCAATAGTTTCCACAAGGACAGTTGTCTTACCTTGGAACCTGATGGAGTTGTTCTGCAGATCCAGAATGTCAGCGATGGAATTGTACTCTCCCACTTTTACTTCCTGACCATCTGTAAAAATAATAATAAAAAATTCAACAAACATAAATAAGTATTTACAATATTTTCATACCATATGTTCAGAGATATAAAGTGAAAAATAAAAATAAAACAGCAAAGTAACTGCAAATACCAAATGTTTGTAGAAAAGCAACCATTTAACTCAAATATGCACTAAGAAGCACTATCTCTTCCATAGCAAGCAATTTAAAATACCAGTATGTTGTCCTAAGTACAGTACCGGTTAATAGTTTATCTTATTTTGGTCAAACTTAAAAAGTAATCAAGAAAACATCATAAAACACCTCAGATAAACAATAATTGGAAGAAGTGCTAACTGGTGCAAAAGGAGAAACATATGTGTTTATATCTAAACTAGAATCTAAATACTTGTTGTTATCACCATTCTCTTCTACCCAGGAATGCTTCTCAAGCACATCTATGAACAAACAGCCTCTCCAGTGTAATATTGGAGAAGGAATGGCTCTGTCAGTCAAACATGGCCATTCACCTTCTATTACTTGGTTAGATTTTACAACTAGGAGGAAGGAGAAAGCAAATGGGAGGGGAAAAGAGGAAACAGGCCGTTAATTTTCTTTGTGGGAAACATACACAACCTGCCGTTTGTCCAGGTGTGCGTGTGCAAGCCTTACCACCTTTTTCCATTTTCACTCTCAAAGACCAATTGAACTTTTAGGCAGAAGTGTCCTTGACAAGAAAAATGACAGACAACATCATCTACCAGTGGGCCACTTTGCTCCACTCTGCTTTCCTCTTGGTGAATCACTTTATCTTATCTTTAGGCCTCATCAGAAAGTCAACGACAGCTGAAAATGTCACACTAAGGTGATTCTACCTAGAGATTTCCAACAAGGCAAGTTGCCTTTTAGAGGTGATCTTGTGATTTCAAAATTAATTGAGAAAGAGCTGTACCAGGGTTCATTTAAATTCAAATGTAATTTTTAGCTGCAAACAAAATCCCTCCTTACAATCAGGCGAATGAATAAATTCACCATTATAAATCAAACATTTTATGCAAACTAGAATACATATCAAATAAGTTGCAGATGAAGAAAAAAGAAAAACCTGCTCCAGGCACAGACTCACAACATGCTTTTGGAAGAAATAAAACCACATTTTCTGCCGTTTGTATAAATAAAAAGTACTCAGAGTGCCTCACTTTTACATCAACTTTGATTAACTCTTCTGTCTCCCAGCAAATTTAGTATGAAAGAAAAATTTCCAAAGGAACAACACAAAATAAATTTGGACTGTCAAAGGACAACTGATCTCATTCTAACCAGTTTTCAAGTTACTTTGTTTATTAGCTTGTTTATTTTTTTTGAAAATGTACAAAAGAAATCCACCATGAAGCATAATTTAAATTTTTTGTTGAGATTTTAAGGGAGTGGGTGGGAGTATAAACTTATAAAAATTTCCAGGCCTTCATCACTTACATAATCTTACATTTATTATGTATCTAATCCATGCATGACAGCTATACTTTCATTTAATAGATTAATACATATGGGTTTACTTTATTTTCTCAAATGATATCAGATAAAATGTACTCGGAATTAATCAAATGACTCAACGTCTTGCTATACAAACTGCAAGCCTGCCCCCAGCAGCTGAACACATTCAGATCTGACTGGTTTATGTCAAGTGTTTCTTTCTGTTAGTTTTGATGACTGAGTTTTTTTGAGTTTACTAAATCAAAACTCAAATCCAATTTCCTCCAAAACTTGTCACGTTACATTGGACTAGTGGAAAACTCTTGATACCACAGAAAACGTTGGCCTAAATGTATGTACAGTACATTAGAAATTCTGCACTGTGTGTGCATAATATGGTAGGAGACGAAGGAAATCATCAGAAACAGCTTTCACCAAAGTGCTAAATGATTTGCTGGTAAACATAGAAATTGATCACACTTCATCTTTAAAACTGCTAAATCAAAGTGCTGCGTTTGACACTGTGGACGACTCTGTTTTACTGAATAAAATTGAGCATAGGGTTGGGCAATTTGATTGAAAACAGTTTAATAAAAAAAAAAAAGAATTTGTATCAGTTGATTTTGATAATTACTGATTTGTCTGAAATATCTGAAATGCTGTCAAAAGGGTGATGTGACCTATCCTGTTTTATCCATAATTTTCTCTCTAGTTGTTGACCTTTTTTTTCTTTTAAGCAGTTATGAGCCACACTGTTCTTGGTCTATTGCTATTTTCTCTCAATCTTATGTCTTTTGGTCTTCTTTTTTGTACTTTTAACACAATTTTGCAGCTGCATGTGCTTTCCATCTTTGGAAACTGTACACACTTGTCAAAACAAGAAGCCAGTCTCTCTGCAATTACAGGTTTGTTATCCAATAATGTCCTGGTTTTTAATCCTGATAAGACAGAGTTGGAAATCTTTTATGGTTTTAAGGTCTTGCTGGCCACCTAGAAGGCTCTAAATGTTCTGATGCCTTCCTATCTTTCTGAACTTCTGCACGTGTGTGTCACCTCATGTAGTTTAACCTCAGTGTACTGGGCTGCTAAAATTTCCTGAAGTTAATAGAAAAACTGTTGTTTTTTTCCTTTTGTCTCCATCCAGACACTAGGTAGAGATGCTCTGTGAAGGTTTATAAAGTTAAAGACCCTCTTGTCTCTCTCTGTCTTGTGCATCGTAATACTATTCCTAAGCTTTAATTCCATTTTATTGGTTTTCCCTTTTTGTTTGATCTGTTTTAATGAGATATATAATTGGTATTGCTTTATTATGGTTTTTATTTTCTCTTAACTGTTCAGCACTTTAGAAATAAAGTTGTAATTCTTTTTAAATGCGTTTGAAAAACACCATATGACAAGATTTCAACACAATGAATTCTGCATTAGCTTTAAAATCAATTCAATATATTTTCACCTATTTTGATAAGTGCCCAGAAATGACATTTAGTTTTAGCTTTATACAAATGAACAGAAAAGCAATTCACAGCTAATGGATACTTTATATATCAATAGAAATTTTAAAGAAATTTCTTGACAGTAAAAACCTAATTGTGACTATTTTTTCAGATTTCAGCTCTAACATTGAGAAAACAGGACAAATATATAATATTTGGCTAATATTACAGTAATAAGAGAAAATTCTTAGAGCACCATAAACATTGGAGTAATGGTTTTCACTTTTTATGTTTATTTGGGACAGTGTTTGCAATCAGAATCTCTGATAGAGAACTATCACTCAGTTCATCTCCATTAGAAGAAAAACAGGAGTCAGAAACTGCTGACTAAAAACGTACTGACAGGGAGAAATTGAGAATCCGAGGCTGCAGACAGATGACAGTGACGTCTGGAGGATCACTACCTTGTAAAATATTTAAAATGGGGCAACCCCTCACGACCTCTCCAACCAGCAAGAGCTTTGGTGCAGTGTGTCAAAAAGGAGTGACGAAATCACTTTCTACATGTGTCTGCGAGACACAAGATATAGAGCAAAGGTTGATCAGGGGCAAAAATGGTAAAGAAGAATGGAGATAGCATAAAGATAGAATAAAAGAGAGAGCCCTCTGTTGACATTTTTGAGAGAGAAAAAAACAGTTTTGTGAACCATTTCTAAGAAAATTCAAGCAGATTACAACTTTTTCAAAACCAAGTTTAAAACTGAGAAAATTTAAATCTGTGTCATGTTCCAGTGCCTGACAAAAAAGTTCATTTTTATTTATTGTGAAAAACTGTTTCAGCCTAAAGAAAGGCAAGCAGCTTGAGGAAACACTGGGGTGACTTGATGAAGTGGTGAAGCAGAAATAGAGAAAGGACAGTAATCATTAAAGAATGCTGTAACCGATTTTGCACACTGAAACCCCTCGACAGAATAGACCAAATCTAACAGACTGGATAGATGCAGATTTTAAGAAATCCTGACTCTGCACATTAGCTCTATACTTCTTCTGGTTTCACAGAGAAAATACATACGCAGAGTGTACGAGTGTGAGTTGTAACCAGCCAGAGGGATCAAGCCTCTCTGCAGTCAGAAAGATAAGATGGTTAGGCTGAGAGAGAGGACTGATCAGCAGCATGCTGCTGTGCTTCATACAGTCTAAGATGCCTGGGAGGTGGGAATCCCCTGCTCTCAGATCCGATCTTTTGGGTTTTTCTCAGGAAATCCTGCCAGCTCAAAAACAACCACCGGGTGTATCACTATCGGAAGACAACAGAAGATGTTTTTTATTTTTATTATTCTGACTCAAAACCTCCACAAATTCTTTTAATAACCAAAGGAGGGGACATATCAATTCAAGTTCTGCCAAACCAGTAGCATGGTACAGCTCCATAGAGAAAGCTTTGAGAGATGTTTCTTTTTTTCCCCACAAGAAAAGAGTCTCAACTAATACTGAGTCATGTGAATAAGTTACAGCAACACAAAAGGTGGAAGTGAGGGTACAGCATGTGAAACATTTCAGTGACACACTTCAGCCACAACTTCAAACATTTCAAAGGATCCAGTCTATGCACATCAAGCATGACAAGAATACCGTCAGCTGGGCATTAGCACATTATAGCAAAATGCTTCAAAAAAAGAGCAAATAGAAGAAGATGTAATATTTTCTGAGTTCACCCAAAAGGGAATATAGTTGTTTATACTTTTGGTAAAAGTTTTTTTTTTTTTTCTGATGTGTTGTCCTGTAACAAATTGCCATGCTAATGTTTCCATGGTTTATTGTTTCAAGCTTAGGTCCATCAGAACCACAAAGACAAAAATATATGTTTATTTATATCTATTTCAAAGCACATAAAGTAAAATTCTGCTGATTATGACTGATTTTTAAAGTCAATAAAAAGGGTAAAACATCTAATGGTGAATATTTTTTATGGACCTTGTAATTACTTCATGGAAGTAAAATAATAAAAAAGTGCTTTAATTTTCTACATCTTATTTTATCAAAGTATATTTTGATTAAATATCATATAGAGTAAGAATGACCCAGGCAGGGTTCATGCCTAAATGCAACTTAGAATCTGTTTTAAGACTTAAAGTATAAGTTCAGAGACAATCTGAACCATTTTGCAAAAAAAATATTTGGTACACTTGCACAGAGCAACTTAATAAATCAGACTATTATCAAAGAGTTTATTTATGTCAGTAACTAAGTTCTAAATATGATTTCCTGTATAAAAACAAACAAAAAAATAAAACAAAACAAAAACAAACATGCTTTCCCTTCAACTGCATAGTCAAGTTCTGTGTTTTGGGCAAGCACAATGAAATGGATTACCGTCTGGTTGCAACATGAAAAGTGAATATTTTGCACTTAGAAATGAAGAGAAATAGGACAGAAAATAAAGGCAGGTTATTAAGAAAAGTACCTTGAAACTGGTTGAATTTTATTGTGCCCATCCTCTCTCCATTACGAAACATGACTTGACCCTGAAAATAAGCAAAGCAAACCACAATGAAATACATATTTATTTAGATTATTAAGACATTAGGTTGTGCTGAAGAAGATGTGTGCTAAACTATTCAATGAATTAAGCAAGGAGCTGATTTCAGCTAAAATGATTCACAATGCGTTCTTTTCTGTGTTGGCAGGGAAAGGGCAGAGGCTCGGTTCTGACATACTTAATTTCATTTGATTAGAACTGGCCAAAATTGATCTGTTTATAGAGGTAAACAAAATTATTCTTCAGCCAATTCAGGCGCTAAGACTCTTGGAGCAATCTCAGAATAGTAAGACAGAGTGATTTAACTCTTCGAGTTAATGTTCATTTCAATCCGTTTGTGTGTCCCACACTTGGCCAGAGAAAAAAAACCTGACAGCCAGAGTAAATGATTCCTGATGGAAATATATATCTAGTCCAATATCTATTACAGTTTGACTAAAAACGACATTAGGAAGTCTGTGGTTCAGTCAATTTCCATCCAGGTGGTGTCTGTCACAAACCCACCGGTCAAAATGAGAATACACATTTGGTGATCTTGTCAAACACTTTCAGACTGGTTGTGCTTATTTCATTTGATCTTTTCCCATTATTCATACATTCCTATCTTCCTTGTTCTGTACTCTCCATCTCACTCCATCTTCCCTTTATCTCTCTCTCCTGCTTCATCTACCAGGAGTGTTCAATTAATTCAGCCCACCATCTGCTCACAGAGCTCCTTAATTACGCATTTAACTGGGTTTACATATTAGCTGTTGGCTAACAAAATAGGTGCGAGACAAACACACAGAGACGGATAGACGAATAGTTTGCAATGACTGATTAAATCATAGCTAAAGGGACATGGTCGGGTGGCCGGAGATGATTTTCTCTTAAAAACTGAGAAGCTTTGAAGTGGCAAAGAAGGATCCCACCCGTCTCTTTGAATCCCATTCTTTGTGTGGCAACTTTGATGTTAACCCGAGAGTGTGAATGCATGTGGTTCTGTGTGCATGTACTTAGTGTGCTACCACATTAGGTCAGTACTTGCATGTGTCACAGATATCCTATTCTAGCACTCAGCCTCTCTGTATCTCTTAGATTTTGTGACACACAACATTCTGCACCTAAATGCGTGTGTTGCAGTGTACTCCTGAGCAGCTGCTTTTGGATTATACTGAGATAAGTGGGGTGTGTAATAGGGGTCAGAGTATGGAGGTTGAAAACAAGAGCAGAAACTTGACTTGTAGCTATTAAAGTTCTGAGTTCATATTGGTCGCAAGAGTAGCTGCATGACACACATGCTCGCGCTAAAGATCAGATCAGCTGAGGCTGCATTTACACCCCTTTACCAAATAAAATCCTTGTTTCAATTTGTCCCTTCGTTAGTCTCTTTTTGCTGTAAATAATCAGTTTCATTCCTATATACTTAAAGTATTGTTTGCCAGTTTTTTATTTTCTTGGAGTCATGTATTTTTCATAAAAGTAAATGATCTCAAAAATGTTCAAATGTGATGTTTAACTAGCAATAGTTCTCCATTTGGGCCAGCAACCAGAAGTGACCTGCTCCTGGTTGATTTCATTCACTATCATATAACCACAATTTCTTATACAAATATGTGACGAGGTTATTGAAATGATTGAAAATCATACAACATTGATAATCCCTTTTGACTATTGGAAATGATGCATTTTGTAGTATGAAGGTCCTAAAAATATGACTCCATTTCATGACTGAGAAAGTTGGTAAAAAAAACAGCAAAAACTACAAGTGGATGAAATGGTGACAGGGCATAATGATTTTAAAACACCTTAATTACTTTAAAAGTCTTCGATCAATGGTTTAATGTTGTCAAACAATTCCTAATTGAAACCCCCTTTTTTTTCTTAATGAATATGCAAAACGACTTGGGACTCAACAAGGTGGTATGTGTTTTATGGAGAAATCGCAGTGTTTAAGCATGTGTGCATTTATGCGTGTCTGTGTGTGTGTGTGTGTGTGTGTGAGTGAGGCGTCTGAGCTGAGATTGAGGAGGCGGTCAGGTATCACTTTGTTGGTGAGTGTGAGAATACTGCAAGCAACAGCAACACTTGGGTCAAATGAGATGAGAGTCCGTGAGCTGCAGGTGTGACATCCACAGGGTTTCTGAGGTTTTTAGGTTGCAACGCTGCTAATGGGAGAGTAAATTAGATGTGCGCGCACGCTCATGAAAGTATGCACACTTAAAGAAAAAAAAAAAACAGATGCCTCAGAGAGTGGCACTCACCATGAAACAGAGACACACTGGTACCAACAAAATGACTTCTGATTACTCATGAACAGCAAAGCAAATGTGAAAAAAGAAAATTACATCTGCCGTCCTCAAATCACAGACTGCCGGGTCTCTGCATATGCTGTTTGCCTCATTCTGTGCTTCTAGTGGCTAGATGATCTCTCTATCCTAAGAGCATTCCTGCTAAAGTCTGTCTTCTTTTCAGTAGCCCTGACACCAGCTTAATCGATACGACGGAGCCCTCGATCATCACTCTCCTGCTGGTGCAACTGTACTCGGCTACAGTGACACCAGGATCAGCACAATCTTCACACATGTGCCTATCCATGGATTAATGTCAACCAACTGAAAGTCATTTCATTCACAAGCAAAGCAAGGGGTTGTGCAATAGTGGCTTTTGAAATCAGAATTTCAAAATAGCATAAAAGATGTATGGAGTGTTGCTAGAAGGGAAATTGCCTCCCCCAGTCTTTGTCGTGAGTGGGTGGAAGTTTCTATGTGCTAAGTCGTATTTCATGTAATCCTTTAAAAGAGCAGCTACAATAGCTGGCTGTTCTTAAACCTTACACAACAAAGATGTATTTAATTACTTTTGCATTTTCTTTGCTTTAACACTTTTTGGCATGCATGCAGAATTCTTACTAAATTTAAAATTGCTGTTGTCCAATCGTAATGTACATTTAGCTGCCTACACAGCATTTTACATGAATGTAAAATATATTGTCACATTTAAAGTGTCTTTTCTGATGATGTAACCTGTAACTATGAATTTCCTGTAAACCAATTTCATTCCTACTCCATAATATCAATAATAACTATGATTTGAGAACTGCTATTGGAGTCCAGAAGGAGATGCTGAAGTGGTGGACAGGAGCAGAGAAAGCAGGGGGCATCCAGAGTAGAGCAGGCAGAAATCTGTCATGCAAAAAAGGGTTTGGAAGGACAAGTTGATTTATGGGATTTTGAATCAGAGACAGACCGAGTCTGAGGCAGTTGCACTCTTATAGAAATTGTCTGAAGCTTGCAGTCGTTGCTCCATTATCCTCAGCAAAATAACAGCATAATGATACACACCAAAACCACTAATTAACTAATTAGTATTACAGAGTTTTCATCACTTATTTGAAATGGCATACAAAGTAGATTTTTAAAACTAAGTGCAACACGGACAGCATGTATGATTACGTAAGATCATTTATAACGTTGAATGTCAAAATGTTGTGTAAAATTTTTTTTTTTCAGCTTTACGTCATGTTTTAATGTTTTTCCCATATCAAAACATAATTGAAGTTTCGCTTTGATTTTTTTATGCATCTTTGGAGATTCTGCCCAACAGAGCACCTCTCCCCTGCAGCTCCCCCACTCAGCTCCTCCAGACTAATTATACCGTTTACAAAATACTGCTCCCTGCTCCTAATGGTTGTAAACACCATAATGGAAGAACAATATTGTGATGATGTGCTGGAGGTGGAAAGAGCAGAAGCGTCTTAAAGAGACGGAAGCCAATTTTGAGGTGTCCAATTGCAAAGTCAAATTTCTTTTCAGATATGAAAATACATAACAACCCTCCATTAGGAAACTTCTAATGCTTGAGAAAATATTAGAGCATAAATATCACAAATATATCTGATAGTAGAGTACAACATTTTCATAATGCAAGACTCCGTTTTAATATAAATAATAAATACATTTACAGTATATTCCCCTTTGTATATCAAATTAAAATATCAAAGAGCACATTCATGTACTGATGATGGTTTGTAGCCACAGCTGCACATTTTGACTGAAGCAAGGCTGCAGTTTTGCACCATCTGACTAACACCAGCAAGCAAAGTGGGTGAAGTTTCTTGCCAACAGCACAAACGACTAGGGCAGATGGGCCAGGAATCAAACCAGCAACCACCGATCACAAGGCAAACTCCTACCGCCATCGCCAATGTTGCTCCAAAAAATTTTTATATTTCTAAGTAGATAAGTATTCTAAGCTCCACTAAAAGCAAAATAATAACCATATCAGCCACTCTTTAATGTCTTACTAGAAACCTCCAAAAACATTTAGATGGTGAAGTTCTGGACTCTAAGATGACCCAGTGTTTTAACACAAATACTGGATTAAAGAGTTAAAGTTGCCGCCCTCTATCCTTTTATTTTATTAAAATCAGGTGCTTCTTTTCTTTCACCCACTGAAATTTATAATGCAGCTAATAGTTTTCATTTCAAACTTTGCTGGTTAAAGTTTGAAGCACCTACAAGTGACTTCCTAAAGTAGTGTTGCCATCCTGCATTCCTTGTGGCTGCTGAAGCATCTCGGCCTTGTGTGGCTAATACAGGAGATCGGGAGGCATCAAACACACATACACTCAAGCACAAGCAAACAATTTACAAAAAGCTTTTACCATCACAGGATCAATCTTAAATAGCGGGAAGAGAGTGTACAGATCTGAATGATATCACTTTAGACTTCTTTCAGATGCAAGGATGGCTTGGAATCTGCAAACAAGATTCCAGTTTTGCAGCGCAGTGATCCATGCCTCTATTTGCTCTTATAGCATTCACCCACTCCATATAACACAACAGGTTTTCTTCATTGGTAATAAATCACTGGATTCTCGCTTGAGTTGCCTTGAGTTACCTGAATGTGTATATGCTGAATAAACTCAATGGGTTATTCTGTAACAACAGCAGCTTCTCCAATTGCTTCACATGCTGTGGAAACTGGTGTTTATCTTTAAAAGACAATGCAATGAATAATTATTTAAAAAGAATAATCTTATTGACTTACTGTAACTCCATAGAAGTTAGTTTCATTCATGACATCAAGCACCATTTTCCCCACTTCCCGATCGTCCACAGTGAAGTTCTGATGCATATTTTGCCTTTCTTTTGTCCGGAGCAGTTCCCTTACTCGGTTCATGGTCTTTGCAATTACCCAGATCCCATCGTAAGCAAAGCCGTGAAACTTGCTTGCCTCCACACCTTTCTGCTGGAGCTCCCTGTAATACTCCTTCTCATATTCCTTCGGGGTCTGAAAGGCAAGTAGAAGAGGCAACATAAAGCTGAGAATATGTTGATTCATCTTCTTACTTTTTATCATCTCAGCAGCTGGAACCATTACAGTGGTATTTCAAAGGTATTTTAATAGCAAGTGGATGGATTTATTTAGTTTTTTAGATTTGTTCTGAATATTATTTAGCTGAATAAAAATTGAAATCAAAAACACTTTTCAAACATATGCAAACGTGTTGGAAAAATGTTAGAAAATGTATCTACAGCATTTTCAAAAAGATCAGATTCACGAATTTAAAAAAAAAGAAAGAAAATGTCAGACTGCATTTACAAGGGAACATAATTAAAATTCTAAAATCTGAAAAAGCAAGTAGTAGGGACATAGCTCTAAGGTATAAACAAATTGACATTTCAATTTAGAAATTAAAACACATCCACTTTGTGGATTCAGTCCCAGTGAGTGTACTTCACTAGCCTTCCTCACTGGTCACCAATTATGACAAGGGGCGACAATGTGGTGTAGAAACTCCAGTTAAGGGTTGCTGTGGGGTGGAGGGTTTCGCAGCAACTTTGGGTTGAAAATGAGTTAACACCCAGGTTAGGAGACTTTAAGTATCTCAGGGTCATGTTCACTAGTGAAGGCAGATGGAGCAGGAGATCAATAGGCAGATTGAGGCTGCATATTCAGTGATGCAGACGTTGTACCAGTCTGTTGCTGTTATTAGAGAGCCAAGTTAATTTCCCTGTTGATCTATGCTCCAATCCTCAACTGTGGCCACGAGCTGTAGGTAATAATTGAGAGAATGAGAAATGGAATACAAGCAGCTAAAATAAATTAGCTAATGAACTGACCAGTCTATGTTGGGTGAGTTTGATGAAGAATCCAAATCAGCTAATTAAGGGGATTTGGGGATTTGGAAAGTATGCAATCAACAAGTCTTCCAATCTTCCAGTCTTCTTTGGAGATTTCTCTCTGGAAGGATGTCTCAGGACAGACAGAGATTATATTTCATGGTTCGTTTGGGAATATCACCCTAGACAAGAGTAAGCAGCTGAAGGAAGGAAGGTGGCCTGGGAATCTTTGGTAAAGACATTATCCTTGAAACCTTGTCTTAGACAACAGATGGAAAAAAGTTATTTTTAGATCAAGTAAACTGGCAATAAAACATCTGTATACATCATGTCAGGAATTGGACAGGGGTGTTCTTTGTTTAGGGATGATAACACTTTAATTATAAACCTATTTTTAGCCTATAATTTTCTTCCAGCTTCCAAAATAACCATTCCCTTGTTTCAGGCATTTACTGTCTTCTTGACCAACTCTGAATTTCAAAGAAAGCTTTAAGATTGCATCAGCTGGTGTAACTCACCCTGCCAGAGATGCCCTTCACTGGCCGAGAACTGAGCGGTTCAAAGTCCACACTGATGTATCCCTCCATGGCTGTAAGGAGCTTCCTGGAAGTGCAGTTGGTGTTGTTCGCATGTTCCCACCAGTTTCGTTGATACCAGCCTGGGATGATCCACTGGTATTTGCTGCCATACATGTTCAAGTTATATGCCTGGAAAAATGAACCAAAACGAAAACAAAAACTGACATTAAATTTATGTTTAACAAGCTGCCTTTATGTTTTCTGTTATTTCTGTTAAATAATAATTCAACAGAACATTTTATGTTATAAGTTGCTGTGATTTTTAAGTATAAACTGGAAAATATTATACAATTTGCCAGAGAAAAACAGCATTTAACTCATCAGTAACTCCTAAAGGTCACTACCAGGAGATGGTTAAAGACTCAAAATTCCTCATTCTGACCAATGTCATATTAAATTCTTTTGTGCATTTGACCATGCAAAAAACTGTGTGGTTTAATCCAGCTTAACTTTTCCATAAATTAAGCTGTACCCTTCACCCCCATATTTTACCCAGTGTCTTTATAAGTAGGATATTTTGATTTTAAAAAATGCTACACCAATACACAAAAACATATATTTTATGTATTTAAAAAATATGTTTATGGGTAGCTAAGTGTGCATACATGACTTACACAACAGAAGACTTTAGAGGCCCAATGCTGATCAAACTGCCCAATGATGATTCTCACGTCATTGTCCTGAAGAGCAAAAAAATATATTTTGAAAAAAACAAATTTTATTTTAGCTACACAAATTAGTTTGGAATATTGGTTCAGCACCCCTTGCTATTCTTCTGTCACTTGAGATAAGTATAGGCACAACATTGATCAAACAGAAGAACACATGGGAATAAAGAAAAAAGCAGTAAAATATGTTATTAACTGGATAATCAGAGAATTGTATCAAAACAATAGGTAAGTTTGTTGAAGTTAGCCTAGCACATTATCAAGCAACTCCATTTGAAAATAAACAAACAAATCATAACCAAATGTTTGGCACATTGGATACTGAAATTTTCTGGCCATTTATCTTCATAAATAATAGAAAACACACTGAAAAATAACATGATATTCCATGATTAAATACATGGGTACAACACGGCACAATGCATGGGTACAATTGCTGTAAAGGTAAGTTGACATGGCTCCATTTTCAGATCAGTATTTATTTTATAAAGTCAGTGTCAGATTAAAGCAGCTTTTTTCAACTTCAATTCACAGAATTCAATACCTGAGGTGTTTCCGTATGACCACACACCTGTTTTGAATAAGTGGGTGATTAAGAAGCTTTTGCAGCACTTAATGGCACGCAGAGGAGATCATCATTTGACGCAGGTGTTCTGGAAAAGGGACGCATCTAAAATATGCAGGGTAGAGATCCATAAGGACCAAAATTGAGAAACACTGCATTAAAATGTTCTAAATAGAACATCTCATGCTTTTTTTCCTTTTCACTGCATCAACCTCATCAGACGATTTAAAGTGTGATTTATCTGAATGAGTTTATTAGCTGAGAAAATAAATCCATATCAACTTGCACACTTGATTAATAAAAGAGATGGTTGCTGTGCATTGAATTGCTCAAGCCAGGCTTCAGAAAAAAAGTTGCTCAGGGATTCAGAGCACAACATGGCTTTGTGAATGACTCTATAAATGATTTAGACTCCCAGGTGGAAATTCAGCTTGTTCCAGGTTGGTAAAAAAATACTTCAGTGATCACATGCTCATGTACAGCACATATATATGCTAACAAAATCTTAATCAGATGCAATCAAAATGCCAGTGTACAATCCAGAATTGCACAACACTGAATTAAATGATGCTGACATAGATTTGATGAATGTAAATCTGTATAAAGATGGATGAGATGTGCTAGAGATCCATTAGAGAGGCACATTCAATCCTAACAATGCAGATAGTGACAAAGCTTAGGGTTTCATTAAGTGACTGAATTCTGAAGGCCGAAATTAATCATTTATATTAGAAAATATTTCAAATGAATGACATTCCTAAACTACTGTTTGCCCTATTTGGAGATATTGTAAGTTACTTATTCTAATAAAAGAAAAAGAAAAAAAAAGTTAAAATGATCTTTTTGACTTCAAAAACAAAAATGGAAGTTTGACAAACTATGTAGATATAGCTTTAAAAGAAAAATGGGACATGAAGGCTGCAAACTCAGTGAACCTATGACATCCTCCTGTTAGTCTGGATAAAGGGAAACAATTACAAATACAGTTCATTAAGTTATCCCTTAGGCTGTGGTCCACCATATGTTGAGCATCCTGAGATCAGAGGGGGCAACTAATCACTGTCATCTTAATTCCAACACATCTCTAGTGGTTACTCAATGGAGTCAAACAAGACTTCCAGGCTCCATCTTTCACAACACATTACGTATTTGTACAATTGGAGAAAACCAGGCAACAACTTTTAAATCACTAAGTTGTGCTTTTGTGCTATTTTGCACATGTTTGTAAATGTGTGCCAGTAGCAACTCAACAGTGCTGCTCTTCCCTCAAGGAAAGGCACTTAACCCAAATTACTCCAATGATAGCCAGGAGCTACAGTCTGAGTGGAAACCCAAGCATGTCTGGTAACACATAGGAAAGATTTTATAGTTGTAGGCAAGGGCAAGAGTGAGTGTGTTGTGCTGGAGCAGAACATAGAGACTCAGGCACTGAAGAGGCCCAAATTAGCCCCATTGCTCAAGCTTTTATGTAACTGTAACAATTACTGTTCTCAGAGAGGGTGATGTTGAGGGCAACTTTGGCTGCTTCATCCTTGACAGGGTTATTTGTATCTATATAATTGTGATAAATATAATTTAGTGAGTTGAGCGATATTTTACCTCTTGTACACAATCGAGTATATTTACAGCTTCTTAAGCAAAAAACACATAAAGGTGATATTGATGGTTTCTTGTGAGCTTGGGGAAAAGTCCATTGTGGCTTCGTTGTTTCTACAAACAATATGAACCCCATCACCATGATAACTATGGTGATGGGGTCAAACACTCGCTCTTTGAGGATGGACTTATGTCTACATGAACTGTTAAAGAATAATATACAATTATGACAAACTATTTGAACAGTTGCTCCTACAGGCAAATCTCAACTGAAATATTAGCATCAGCTCAAACCTGTAGAGGCGTATAAAACTAGAACAGAGTCGATTGGTCCTTCAAGCTGTTCAGGGCTCTCAGAGTGAGACTCTTGCTCTGGCTTTGCGCTATTTGGGGATTTGAAGTAGCAGAAGTGCTTTAGAATCTTTATTGGTATCAATAAAGTACTTTCTAAAACGGTTAAACCTATAATGATTGTGCAAGAGTGTGAGGTATTTATCCTGAGCTGATTATAGGCAGCTATACATCCACAGGACCTCCAACAAATATTGTACTGTACTGTGTTGACTTAAACGCAATGCAATCCCATAAAATGAATGTTTCCCTTTACACAATTTATGCATTTACACATAAACTAAGGTAATGATTGATGCCTTTCTGTAATTTGTGTGATAAAAATTTACTTGTGAAATTAAAAAATGTAATGAGATCTTGGGGTGTATTTACAGAAGTAAAGTGCTTTGGTCTGCTTGTGTGGTCCAGAACAAAAAAGGACTTTATTATTTATTTATTGCCATGGTTTGCTTTCACGTTGTGCTTTTTTACAACCAGACTATAATTTGTTTAAAAAAAAAAAACAGTGACCCAAGATGGCAATCATTGCTCCCATTGGACAGAAGTGAAGGGGACGGAACCGATCACAGAACTGAAAAAAATGAGCCAGTTGCAAATACAATGTGGCACAGCCGAAATTAGGCATATTCCTGGGGCGATGGAGGCTAATATGTATTGGCCATGATATCAGCAACCCTGCACTCACACATGTTCCTTTCTATTTTTCACAATCAACAGACAGAAACCAGAGTGTTGGGGAAACCCAAACAGGTAAAAGGAGAACATTCAGCCTTAGAGAGAGATTTCTGAACAGCTGAAATTTGAAAACTTCTTCGTCTGCAGTTGCAGTGAAGGGCAGTATCTGAATTTTACTAATACTGTAAATAACTAAGGTGTAAGAAAAATACCTCGCTTTATATTTAAACATATTTTTTCCACATGTAGGTCCCAATTAAAGGCAAACTGCCCGAATAGTCTGCAGTCAAAAAAAAACAGAACATGAGCAACTCAGCACAGATATTTTACAGTCAAATTCATGAATAATAAACTAAAATTAAAACCTCTTTTGTTCTAACAGCGTTTTTTGTATTAATACTTCTTCAAAGATTTAAAAAGAAACAAACTGAATAAAACTAAACATGGTGGGGAAGCTACAACTTCCTGCCAGAGCTGTCCCTGTCTGCATTTTGAATATTTCAGCTGAAACATTACAGAGTGAGAGTGCTCTATTTGTGGATCTCTCTGTGATGCTGAGAACCTCCTATGCATCCTAACACACAAAATAAAAAAACAAAACAAAAAAAACCTTATCATATTATGTTGCTGCGATGGAGACAGTAAAACACTGTTACATACTGAGTGGGAATCTGACTTTTAAAGTGTCAGAGAATCACGCCCACTCCTTACAAATGTTCTGCAAAAATTCTGAGGCAATACCATAATTTGCATATCTTCAGTTAGCTCAAATCTCTTGATGTCAGCTTAGAATGTCATACCTTCACATGCAGATTACATTTTTATTTTAGGAAAGACAGCTCATCATTCTGTTTCTTCTCTGCCTCATGGACGACTCATTGCTTCTTCATATGTATTTTAACTTGTGTAACATGTCATCTACCAATGTACAGCATGAAAAGAGAAAATATGTTTCTTAATAATTACTTTTTATTTAGCTTGTATTTTTCTCACTGCTTAAAAATGCGAACAGTTTTGACATGACATGATATGATATTCTATATGTTATCAATTTACCTCTGCAGCATCATGAAAGCTACAATGAATGCTCAATATTCTACTCTTATAAAAAGTACGGAGAGAAAGAGGCTCATTTAGACCCAAGCCTTTTTATGATAAAGTCATACAGCCTGAACCAACCATTACTTTGAATCTGTCATCCCCGCAAACCCATTGCTCTCATGCTAAAGTTAGCTGGACAAGATTTAGATTAATTTATACAAAATTAACTATGACTATTGCCAAAAATAAACATAATTGTCAAAATAATAGGTTATTCTTATGGAATAATTATTATACATTATTATTATATAATAATAATAACCATAAAAAAAAACATTCCAAGCTGTTGTTATATTACGATGCATCGTTAAATGCCATTTGCAGCTGAATTTACTTTCTTATATACATGAGACAAAACAATTGATCGTGAGGGTTATCCATTCTATTTCTTTTTGGCTAGAACAATCACTAATTAACCAGAGTTGGGTTCAATACTGCATATAAATTGTGTCAGAACTGTGAAAATGAAATCTTTTTAATCAAAATGTTCTAAAATATCTGTTGTTATTACTATTTTATAGTGAACATGTGCATTTTTTCAATATAATATGAAAAGTTTTACAACATAAAGAATTTGCTAACTTAGGTCTTTATTTGTAGTGTATCTTTAACATAAAAGGTCTTGCTTACCTTCAGTTTTTTGACATTGACACAGGGATCATTGGAAAAACTTTCTGTATCTGCAATGTGAATGTTTGCTTTCTCCAGTTCATAGGTCAGATCATTCCTCACCTGTGGGAACATAAAGAAAGAAGAAATTATTCACAATCTAAGATCACTGCACAGAGTCACTGCTGAAGTATTTCTATGTTATTCATCCTGGCCCCTTGAATGTCCTGGAGGACGCTGCCAGGAGTTACATGAACTAAGAAAGACAGAGATTCCCTGAGAGACATGGCTACTCCAAGCAGGAATCATAGAAGCTATATTCATAAAAGATGAATAGGGTATGATAGGCTGTACTTGATTTGGGAAATATTGTGGTTCACTTTAACAAAGGTGAACCACAACTCCACAATTTAAAACGTGGAGTTTTAAATTTAAATTTCTGCATTAAATTTAGTTCACAGAGAAACCCAGCAGTGGAATTTCTATTCATTAAATTGCCATTCTTTCAGCTGGAAGTTGAATATTTCAATCAATATTCAAAAAAGTAACTCAGTGGAAAGAGTTGCTCTGATAGGGAAATGACTAACTAATGCTCCCTGGGACTGCTGTTGTGTAGATGTCAATACAAAATAAATTTAGACATTTCACATAATATCCAGGTTTGCAGAAATAATAATTTTAAAAACAATTCCTGTAACATTACCATGAAGAGCTCCTTCTAGGAAACACTTCACTGATTTACCCGTTTCACTCAATCATTCTTGAGATTTCTTACAAGCTTGCTGGTAGAGAATTACAGCAAAAAGTCTGGGGAAGTTTTTGTAGACATTTTTTCTGTTCTCCATGTTACAAAGAACATAAGGTAGTCGTTGTTTTTGTTGTTGTTATTTGTTTTATTGCCTCGTGCTTTACACGGACATGCCGGTTAAACTGTAAATAAAAAATAAAACAATACATCAATATTTAGTAACAACGAGAACTAATCTCCGACAGCTTACAACATTGATGTAACTCACCACGTTGGGCAACACTCATAAACGTCGATTAAATATCCGTTTGTAGTCAATAATACCGTTAGCTGCGGCTAACGGCGATCTCTGTGCCGTTACTTTTTCTGCCGTAAGTTTCTTCTCTCCCTTAACTGACGCGAAGCCACTACAGCGCCCTCTAACGGAACGGAGAAGGAGTGAATCCAACATCCCGGCCCCGATGAACTCTACAGATGTTCATCTCAGAAAATTGGTGAACGACAAGTTAAACTTAACAACTGTATATGACTATGTAATATCCACTTTGCAATAACAACTTTTCTGAAAGGAAGTTTTTTTTTTTTTTTTTTTAAAGACTACTTGTTACAGTAATCATGAACATAAGATAGAGTGAAAATTATCTTTAACATATAGAAAACTCAAACACTCTGAAGGTAAGTAAATCTACTTGTCCATATTTCCTTCTAACAAACACAACTTGTGTATTGGACGGGTATAAATGCCTCTCTGAGTCTTCACTTGCACTGATCTCACCAAACCATCAGCTCCGATGTTGACATCAGTAACCAAACCAAGAGGCCACTGATTGCGAGGAGTGCATTCGTGCAGAATCAGCACAAGATCTCCGATTTGATAGTTTCTGGAATGGTGGTTCCACTTCTGCCGTTGTTGCAGGCTGGGTAGGTACTCCTTTACCCACCGAACCCAGAAAATGTCTGCCAAGTACTGGATTTGGCGCCAGCGTCGACGATACAGATCTTGCTTTACAAAATGACCAGGAGGCAGAGCACACTCTGATCTCAGCAGAAGCAAGTCATTGGGGGTCAAAGGTTGACCATCTCTTGGGTCATCTGACAACTTTGTTAGTGGTCTCCCATTGACAATGTTTTCAATGATACAGAAAAGTGTCATTAGTCCTTCATCATCCAGAGTCTGTTGTCCTGCAACGCTCATGAGAATTGAGCGCACAGAACGGATTTGTCTCTCCCATACACCCCCCAAATGCGAGGCGGCGGGAGGATTAAACTTCCATTGAGTTTCTCGCTGGAGTAGATGATCCTCGATCTTTTGCTGGTTCCATCCTTCCAGAGCCTTCCGCAGTTCATGACGAGCACCAACAAAGTTCGTCCCATTGTCCGAACGTATCAGTTGGGGTGTCCCACGGCGAGCCATGAATCGCTGAAGAGCGTTGATAAATGATTCTGTGTCCAAGCTGTGTGCCACCTCCAAGTGGACAGCTCTGGTAGTTAGGCAAGTGAATAGACATCCATATCTCTTCACCTCACTCCGTCCTCTTTTGATGGTGATGGGTCCAAAGTAATCAATTCCGACGTGAGCGAAAGGCGGCTTACATGGAGTCACACGATCAATGGGCAAATCAGCCATGTACTGAGTACTGATTGGAGCCTTTTGTCTTTTGCAAGGTACACACTGTGCTAGGACTTGCTTCACAGATGCGCGGCCTCTGACAATCCAAAAGAATTGTCTGATATCAGCAAGCACCCTTTCAACTCCAGAATGACCTGTGAGCTTGTGAAAATGCCAAATGATAAGTTTGGTAATATGGTGGTTTTGAGGCAAAATTGCAGGGTGTTTTGCCGCTTCAGTTATTGGAGCATTGGTAAGTCTTCCTCCGACACGGAGTAATCCATCACTGAGTCGTACAGGAGCTAACTTCTTGATGCTTTCTCCTTTCATTGGACCAGTCAAGTGGATGCGCTGAGCGTATTCAATGATGGAAATCTCTGCCAGTTTCATTTCGTTTGGTGTTATTGGATCACTTAGCTTGAGTTCATACTTCTTCAGAAGGATATTCTTAGCTCGTAGGATCAGTACAATAGCTCGTTTGAGTTTGTACCAGGAGGAATACCTCTGAATGAAACAGTCAATTGCTGATTGAATGGTGAGCTTAGAAGACATTGCATATGTCTGACTTGACTTCTTTACCTCTGCTTCCGGAGGTAAGCTTCCTAGATCAGGCTGGCAAGGCCATAATTCTTCTTCTTGCCACAGGAAGGCAGGGCCTTTGAGCCAACGCTCACTGTTTGTAAGTTCCTCAGCAGACAGTCCCCTTGAAACATCATCTGCAGGGTTTAGTTCTGTGCAAACATGTTTCCATTGTGAGGCTTGTGAGACTTCACGGATTTGTGAAACTCTATTTGCAACAAAGGTTTGGTACCGTTTCTCTTCGTTTCTGATGTAATGTAGGACAATAGTGCTGTCTGTCCAGAAGACAGACTCTAGAAGGGGTAGCTCAAAGCTTTGATGGATTTTTTGATCAAGCTGTACTGCTACTACAGCGGCTGCCAGTTCTAATCTTGGAATAGTGCTTGGTTTAACAGGAGCCAACCTATTCCTAGAGAGAACGATATTACAGTAGATGTTATCGTTGCTTACAACCCTAAGGTAGCTAACAGCACCATAACCTAACTCTGAAGCATCACAGAAGTGATGAAGTTGCATGGTGACTGAAGCTGCAGTGAAACCTTCAGGTCTGAGACATCGGGGCACCCGCAGTCTGCAGAGTTTTGGTAGGTCATCTAACCACCGGCCCATTGCTCAGCAATGTCATTTGGGATAGCTTCATCCCAACTTAGCTTCAAGCGACATAGCGCCTGGAACAGTGCCTTTCCCCGTAAAATGAATGGGCCAACTAACCCCAGGGGATCATAAACTGAGCTTATTGTGCTTAGCATGCCTCTTTTTGTGTTGGGTTTGTTCCTGACCTTGATGATGAAGGTGATGCAGTCATCTGCTATGTCCCAAAACACTCCCAGAGCTCTCTCCAAAGACAAATCTCCATCCAGGTCCAACAATGGTAGTTGATTTGCATGCTCCTCAGGCGGGATAGACTGTAGAACCTCAGTTGAATTGCTAGTCCATTTTGTCAGGCGAAACCCACCATGCATGAGTAGGTCGATCAGCTGTGCCGCTAGACGGATGGCCTGTTGAGGTGAGTCTGAGGATTTCAGGCAATCATCTACGTAGAAGTTTCTTTCTACAGTGGAGATGGTATCTGCATCGTACAGATGTGCGTGATCTGATGCACACTTCTTTAATGCAAAACTTGCTGCACTTGGAGACCACACTCCACCAAAAAGGTGGGATGTCATCCGGTAAGTAACTACCTCATTATTAGGATTGTGGTCCTTCCACCAGAGGAATCTTAGCACATTTCTGTGTTCTGGAGTTACATGTATCTGATTGAACATGCCCTCAATGTCTGCCATTACAGCAACTGGACCTTGTCGGAAACGGATCAACACGTTTATTAATTTGTTTGTTAGATCTGGGCCCTGATGGACGACATCATTGAGAGATACTCCGTCATACTTTGCTGCGCAGTCAAAAACAACTCGCACCTTTTCAGGCTTGCGAGGATGAGTCACTGCGTGATGTGGGAGGTACCAAACTTTGCCCTCATTGTGATCAGGCGACAAAGCTGGGACTTCTTCTGCATATCCTTTATCAATAGTTGACTTCATTGCTTTAACATACTTGTCTTTCAGGTTTGGGTCCTTTGTTAATCTGCGTTCCAGTAGTTGTAGTCTCCGTGTCGCTAAGTTGATATTGTTAGGCAGTGTCACTGCTTTGTTCTTAAAAGGTATGTCTAAGGTATAATGTGAGCCATCTTTGGTAACTGAGTTTTCCCACAGTTTAATCACCTTGTGGTCATTTATTGACAGATTGTTCTCTGAAGCAGGGTCGTCAATTTTCCAAAACCTTTCCACCTGTGTTTGTAGATTTTGATCTGACTTGAGGAAGTAAGTCTTAACCTTCCTAACTTCTTTGTGATCAATGGGACCATTGATGGCCCAGCCGAGTACTGTTCTGCTAGGGTAAGGGTCATTATCACCTCCTACGCGGTACTCTTCAGCTCTAAGGAGACGAGGAGCATCTTGTCCAATGACAAGGTGCACATCGTTGGACTTGATGCTGGGAATAGGGATATCTGCTAGGTGATCCCATCTGGCTGCCTCGTCTGGTGTCGCAAGACAGCTAAGTCCAATGTTTAATTTCTTAAGTGTTCTCACACCATTAAGTGTGTAGGTGCTGCCATCATGCAGAGAGTCAATCTCAAGATCCACACTTTGAGTGAATATGCCTTCTTGGCTTCCTCCTACCGTGTCAAGG